CATCTACCTATAGGAATACGACACCTGTTGTGGCATTCCTATATAAGCTCTATTCAGTATTATTCAGCAGCTTTTCAGCTTGCTCAGGAGCAAATTACCCTCCTCCATCCCCAGCTCCTCCTTTCGCCACAGTCAGGACTTGGCTTTCTGATATTCCTTGCTAATCAGACTCCTTTATCTTGAATAAAGTGTTACACTTAAATATCATTAAGTACATGAATGATATCTGCCTTGTTCTGTTCTGTTAACCCTAGGGGGGTTATTATTGCTGCTCTCCCTGCTCATTCATGACAGGCTGCATGGATGGGCAGAACAGAACCATACCTCCAAACCAAACTTTATGCTAAGTATCTATCATTTTGACAATAGTGGTCCTGACAGAAATGTCATTTAGGACCAAAGGCACAATGTTAAAATCAGAGAACAACTGGACTATACTGCCATACGTCAAAAGCAATGTTCCAAAAAGGCTCAAGATTAATAATAACCATGCACAACATTTTCTGATTAAGGTCTAGGCTATTTTGGTCAACGCTTTATTCTGAAAAAGGTATTTATAATGTAATCTTCATAATCCAAATCAAGTCAAGCGCATTCTTTTATGAAAAATTTTCACAGGCCATTTACTATTATAGTCATTTTAGACAGTAACTAATTAATTCAATATTTCAATAACAAAAAAAAGATTTAACAAAAAAAAAAAAAAAAGTGATTTTCTGGGGATGTGAAAAATTATTTTCATGGAAAATTATTTCATTTTTTTAAATATATAAATAATTAATTATTGATATATTGTGTATATAATTATATGCTCACATCTCATGTGTGTAACATTTGAATAGGAAAAGTTAGAATACAAAAAAAAACTATTATTACACATCGAAAACATAGTTTTCGAAGTTGTAAATGAAATATTATTGGAATATGTTTTACAAGAGAAAATATTATTTCAGTTTTTCTACTTCAAAATTTCACATTTAGAAAGTTTATTTTCTGTGGATGTGAAGAATTTGTTGGATATTCTGAATAAGTGACTCAAAATTCTGTTTAATTAACCGGAATTTTGGAGTAATCCAGTTACGTCATTCATTCTAATGTTTACATGAGTCTTACATAAACAGAATATAATCAAACTCTGAATATTGATATAAACCACTTTATCAGATCTGTGTCAAAGCGTCAGTGCTTTATTTGGGTGATGCCAGACAATCGTTCACCCATCTCAGTTTACACAAAACCCAGCAACGATTATGATTTTACTGGCTTTGGTTGTCATAAACCAATTTACCAGAAATTATTTTAAAAGATGTAAAGCATAAAGACTGTTCTGAAACCATTCATTTGCCACATACTGCCTGACAGCTGTATGAGAACACGTTTAAAGGCAAAGATGTAACAAACTCCTGATCTAGGTGAAGGAATATGAAACCAGTCACAAAATATCACATGGAAACCAGTTTTAGTTAAATAGAATAACAAATCTACATACGCCCCTCTAGTTTCCCCTCAATAAATATCTCAAGTTTGCATAGCCGCAAACCAGTTTGCTTACAGGATCCCATGGATTTAAGAAATGTAGATGAAGGAAAAGGAAAAGAAAAAAGACTGGCGCATACCACAGCATGCCTCCCTCTCTCTTCTCTTTCACTCCTTTATCTGCAGCAGCAGTAACCGGCTCAGAAATTCATCAAGATGAGGAAGAACAATAATAATAGTCCAGCAGTAGTCCCATAAACCTCGGCGTTTCTCTTCTGCAGCTTTCCGATCGCAATACAGTCTCTTCTTTCAATGACTGATTGTATTCTGAAAGTTTTCAACAATCTGATTTGTGGTTCTCTTCCCAAACGCAGCACAAAAGACAAAAAGCATCGAGGAAAAACCAGGCTGGAATATCAGATCATTGTTTCTTGTTGGAAAGGAGGGGGCGTTGAAGGAGAGAGGGGGAAAAAACAGCTTTGTATCGTTGTGTCTTCCCTTGGGTTCACCACGTTGTTTTTGAGCACTTATAATTTCCTTTGTTGTGTCCAAAACATCTCGAGTTGTCCATGTTTATCACACATTTCAGTCGTCAGCACGCGGTCTGTGCGGAACAGCGCAAGTCTCTTGCGGGGAAAAAAAGGACTTCTCCCAACATAAAGGCGAAGTCCAGTGACGGAGCGCGTGTGAATGTGTGTGTTAATGTGTTTTTTTCGGCTTCCCAATAATGGCGGCCCTTCTCCCGTTCTCGGTCTCTCCTCCCTCCTCTGTAGTCTCGCGCATGGACACAATTACCGCACACACACACACACACACTATTATAACGCCAGCATACGTAACTAAAGATGCTGTTATCCGGCGGAATTGGGACTGGTGTTATAATTGTTGTTGTTTTTTTTTCTTATGAAAACAAATAAGATGCTAGTCAGTAACAAACATTCTCCATAGAGGAGAGGACGGGAGAGTTGCCATAAAGGCTCCATCTCAGCAACTGTATAAGGTTTTGAGTCAAAAGTCCAGGCAGTCAGCCTCCAAAACAAATGTGTGGTTTGTTTATATGTTGATTTATAAAATGGAATAATAAATCAAATAAAAAAATCAAATCAAATAATTAAAAAGTTAAAAATATGTTTTGTACAAAAGTATCTAATGAATGATTTATTTATTTATTTATTTGGTTGGTTTTTAACTGAAAGGTTGAACTGCGTTCCCAGGACCAAGGGTATTTTTCATAAAAACAAATATTTCATAAAGTTATCACCATGGCAATTATCATTTACTAATACTAAACTAAAAATGTTAAAAGAAATAACGCTAAATAAAACAAAATGAAATATAAATATTAGATGAAAAGCATTAATAAAATGTAAAAAAAAAAAAAAAAGTTTAAGCTGAAGCACTAAAATTACTAACTGTTAAAAAAAAAAAAAAAATATAAAAATTTAAAAAAGAATATCAACTAATAAAATTACAAAAGCACATACCAAAGTTACTAAAAATGTAAGTAAAATTAAAACAGAAAATGTAAAAATAAAAGCTAATGAATGATTTTAATTTAAAAAACTATAATAAAATATAAGTATTACAGAAATAATACAAAACAATAATACTACACTATACAGCAGCACTATATAAATAATACTAAAATAATGTTGGTTGTCACATGGTTGGACACTTTGCATTGTTTTACTGTTTAAAATTGGATTAAAAGCCTATAATATGCTATTTAATGGCAGGTTCCATTGTGACAACTTACCCCAACATAATTTCCCCTCAGCTTTAAACCCTATTGTTAAGGTGATACAATATAGATTTGTCTCCACATACTGTTACTGAGTTTCTGTTCAGTTCTTACGATCTCACTATCATATTGTGAGTTCAATCAGAGAGAGTCACTTGGGGTAAAAGTTTAATAAAAAGTTCTCATGCTTTCTGTTTTTATCTATAAATAGTCCTACAAAACTATATATGCAGTGTGGTTTTAATATTACAGAAACAAAAGCTAAATCCAGTGATTTGCAGTTAATCATAGTATTTATCATGACACCATTCCACACCGTGAAGTGAAGGAACTGCGAAGGTCTCTGCTCCCACCTCTAGACTGCAGCTGCAATATTTCTAAGTCCCAAGGGCCACCACATTCTTCGCTCTCACAGTTGTGCAATCTCTTAACAATCAGAGCCCCAACCCCCTTCTGACTATGTGCAGAGACCCTGTCCAAGTTATCTGGACAGTGTTCTGCAGTAGACAAATCCTTAAAAAAGCTGAAGTACAGAACAGAGGTGTGGTGATGTAACAGATCTGATTCTCCATTTTATATGATGTATCCAGAAATATGGCAAGAAATGTGTAAAAGGATATGATGCATGTTTTCAGACTGAACTCACACTGCAGGGGATGCTGTCCAGAGGCTACTATTTTTAATGTGTATAAATAAACTATTGGAATGAGCCTCACAAAAAAAGACATATTATAGTAAAGTTAATATGAAAGAAAATATATCAGACCATGTAAATGAAATGTACTAATATATATATATATATAGAGAGAGAGAGAGAGAGAGAGAGAGAATATATTGAAAGTCATTTAAAATAAATAAATAAACGTATATAGCATTATAAATAAATGTACAAAAAGACTACAGCATTAAATCAAACATTAATATTTGAAAAAAAAAATTGACATATGACAACTTTCAAATTGTCAAAACTAACCCAAAGCAAAAGTCATATCAAACATCTATAATCGTTTAATCTTACCTTTTAAAGGGGTCATATGATGCGATTTCAAGTTTTACTTTCTCTTTGGAGTGTTACAAGCTGTTCGTGAATAGATAAGATCCCTAAAGTTGCAAAGACTAAAGTCTCAAACCCAAAGAGATATTCTTTATAAAAGTTAAGATTCGTCCACGCCCTCCTAAAACGCCTCGTTTAAACACGCCCCCCATGTCTACGTCACTGTGTGGGAAGATTTGCATAACACCACCTAAATGTTTACGCAAAGAAACAAGGCGTAACTTTTATTCTCGCTGTAGTATTGTTGCCGCCGCTGCCATGTCGTGGAGACGCTGTGT